AAGCAATGTTTTTGAAGCAACTTCAAAGTTAATTTTTTTGTCTGAAGATTTTTTGATAAAATAGAATCAGCATAAAAAGTTAAAAATATATATATATATTGTTACATAAAAAGAAGTAAAAACATAGAATGTGATATTAGCTAAAAATACGATTGACCGAAGAAGCAAAATCGTGAATGTACCAAAAATGCCACATAATTACTCCTTTTCCTGGCTTTGTACGATAGATCCTACAAATTCAATGGGCCGGTAGACCACGCCCAGATAATTTGTTCTATTTTTATTTTTTTTTTTTATTTAACATTTATTTCAGTGAAAATAATCGTGAAAAATTAAGTTTCGATTTTTGTAGATGACTAGTTTAGAAAATGGTAACAGAGTTAAAAATCGGTTTTCTATAAAACGGCTGGTTCTCATATTTTAAAATATGTTTCGTCTTACTCTAAGAACTCCCTAGATACGAAATATGAAAGAAAATTGCGGGTAGTACGAAAAAAAATTATTTTGTTAAAACCTACCTGACGTCAGTATAGTCAGTTATGCAAATTAATAAAATTACCAATATTTTCTATTTTTAACATTTATTTCTTCTTTATCTTGTTATGTGTAGTATTTGTGTGTGTTTTGTTTTGTTGCATTACCGTATGTATCTGCAGTTTTAAAAATTAAGCAACTGTCATTTTTAATGCTCATGTACAATGATTTCAAAAATTATAATTGTAATTATTGCATACATGCATATGCATATAATCGAATCATTTTGCATTCAAACATTTTAGGTAGAGATGAATTTTTATGTTTATTGACATAAAATAAATGTTGTAATAAATATATACAAATACGTATCTGTAGCTTACTTTAAATTTTAGATCGCGACGCAAATGTATGTTGACATGTTTATTTAATTTATTGGGTTTTTAATATATTTATATATTTTTTTTTTGGATTTATACATTTTATTTGCTTATAACTAATTAATTTAATTACGAGTTAAAACTTAACTTAATTGCAGTATAAGTATTTACTTAAACGCGTTTAACCACTCAATATGCCATTATCATTTTTTTTATTTATTTTTTTTCAATTTGACAGTTGAAAAGGGGGCAAAACTTGGAAAAAATCTGCACGCGGTAGTAAATGATAGTGAAATATAAAATTAAAAGTGTAAACGATTGCAAAAAAAGCAGCATGTTGCTTTGCATTGCAACTAACATTTTAAAATTAATTTTGTATTTTATGTTACCAGTTTTATTATTTTATTTTACAAATACTTTATTTTTCCTTTTTAAATATTTATAATTTACATAAGTTCCGATTCGTATTTATTTTAATTTCCTTATTCTTCTTTTCAGTTAACATAATTTTCGCCCAAATTTTAACTTATGAAATTTTTTTAACAATGTAGAAAAACATTTATTAAATGCAAATTCGTCAAACAAAAAATAAATAAAAACCAAAGAAAAATAATTATTCTCTTTACAAAGGAAAATATTAAAATACAATATACTTTAAAGCGATTAAATGAAATTTGTTATTCACCGTCCTGCCAACTTCTTCAAATCAAATAAACAACAGAAATATTCTTTATATTCTGGCATGTTCTGCAATTCACTTCTGAGTAAATTTCAACCCCCACCAACTTGAATACAAAGCGTATTCGATTGAAATTCTCTCGGAATTGAATTGCAGAAACTGCTTGATTATAATAACCAAATGGATTTTTAGTGAAATGACAAAATCGTTGCGGCATTGAATTCGGGAAGCTGAATTCAGAAAACTCTTCACTATGTAACCACATTAATTTGAAGATGGCCGCTTTGAGCGCCTATTTAAATTCATTTACACACATGTATACATATAAGGGGGGAAAAGAAAATGCAAGCAATCCATTACTGTTTAATAGCATGCCTGCAACTAAAAGGACTAAAAGGAAAACACTGGAAATTAGGAAAATTTCAACAAGCCATATTTTGGGAGTTGAATGAATATGAAAACGAAATTACAAATTAGGATTTTTTATGCATCTGGTTTATAATATGTATTCGGTTATCTAAAATACAGTGGTGCAAATTGCAATAAAGGCAATTTTTCAAGACTTAACATTAAAAGAATTTAGCAAAATATAAAATTATATTTTAAGATATTACTTATTGTAGCAAAGGTATACACATCAATCAAATATTTATATGTATACATATATGAACTTATTATAAGTAAGAAACTATTATTTAATTAATAAAAGGGACATACATACTTTATGTATACATGCATAACGGTCGCTTTAAAATTATATTTCTTTATATTATTCATATTTATAAATATATGCAGCTACACGATTGGCGCCAATACCACCACCTTTTCTGCCACTCTGCTTCAACGTTTGTGTCGCACTTTTCTCCACACGCCAACCGGCATTGCACCTTCTCACATTATCGGATCCGGTCCTTGACCCTCCAGATCGGACACTTGACTTTGATAGTGTAACGCATCTTGGTATGCCTTTTTCACTGCCTTTCGCTCGGTCGGCTTGCGTGATTCCACCAATTTCTGCTGATCCAATCGCTTATCAATGCCCAGTATTTCGAGTTTATTCGCCGGCAGCCATTGCCACGTACGTTTCACATCGAAGAACAACACCAGAAATACCACATCTTCGGTATAGTTTTTGCGCAGCGCAAGCACGTCGAGTGGCGGTGCTGGCAGCGGCACACCGTTGTATACGAAACCCTTCGGTGTCTTGGGGTCGAGTATGAGCGCCGGGTACCAGGGATAGCCGCGACACTTGGCCCACACTAGCTGCAGTGGCTCAAGGGGGGGCTTCAGCAGACCTGTTGTTGACGTCGCCGTCGCTTCAGCATCTTCGCCACACCCTTCGATGGCGGCCTCATGCGTTGAGTCCGCATTTGCAGATGCAGGTCTAGATGATGACGACGGTGTGGGTGTCGCTGCGGCAGCACCCCGTGTATTGTGTGTATTGTTATACTTCAACTTGTTGTTAAGGCTGGCCTTTCGCCCTCTAGCGTTATTCGCAACGGGTGTACTAGTTGCGTTTGCATTGGCAATGGCGGTGGGAGTTGCCGATCTAGTCATTATTTGCTTGTTGACCGAGCGCGTCGTTGTCTTGCCAGTGGACGGTGTCTGCACTGCATCTGCTTTAATGTTTTTCGCATTTGTTTCGGCAGGCGGCTTGCTTTTCTGCTTCGTACGTGTGGCATTGCGTGGACGTTTCTCTGATGGTGTGGGCGTGCGTGTCGCCACACTCTTTGCATCCGTTTCAACCCTATCGCTCACCACACAATCGTTACTTTCCTCAGCGCACTCGCCGCTATGCACGCTGTCGGCGCTGGCACTCGCCGCTTCACCATTGCCTCCACCACCGGCATCACCCTCACCACCTTCAGCATCTGGCTCGCCAGTACTAGCAACTTCGCGTATTTCCGCATCGCCTTCACGGCCATCAACCTCTTCATCGTCTTCACTCTCTTCATCTCCATCACCTTCCCCGTCTCCTTCGGCTTCATCTTCACCATCATCATCCTCATCGTCATCATCATCATCACTACTATCATACTCCGAACCAGACCCGCTGACGCTGAAACCCGAGCAACTACTGCAGGGACTGCCTGACATGTCACTCAGATCGTCATCATCACTGTCGCTTACGTCGCGTTCGTTGTTCGCACGATACACCCGAAAACTGTCAGGTATTCGATCGTAATTTGGCGTGGACGTTAACGCTGCAACGCTGGGTGGCACATTCACAGATGACGGAGTGCTTGGCGTAAGTATAGCGTTTGGTGATTTTTTGGGCGACATCGACGCACTCTGTCGCATTTCCGATAGACGCTTGTGACGCGCATTTCGTTTTGGGGATTTAACAGCGACTGCGCCTAACATCACACCAGCAGGTAGGCTTAAACTTGCGCCCAGTGGAGTCAAATGACTGCCGCTTAGTTTATTGCTTATTGTCATTGCTGATGATGCGAGTGTAGCTGCAGCTGCCGCCCCAGCAGCACTTGCGGTGGAGTTGTTATTATTTGGAGTAGCCGACGCGGACAATGCTGCAGATTCATCCTTAACAGGGGTAGTGATTTCAGAAGGTCTTTTGAGGGCCGCTTGCGCTTTGCGCGTAAACAAAACTGCAGTTCTGCACGGCCAATTAGAGGAAATGAAATGAAAAAAATAGTTAAATAGTGTTATATGATCAACATGCGAACATTATGGAATCTGATCTGACAGAGATACTAGTCAATATTATTGTATGCTTGTATATGTTTGCACTTTATACTCACCTAAACCTATTATCTGATTTCGATTTAATTTATTTACATACCTTCGATTTACACCCACTGGCGATGCGCTGTTGTTCAGACTCTTTATGGGGCTGCATGGCGGTGTTTGTACTGTCGTTGTAGCGGTTTCTTTAGACTCCTCGCCCATTGTATCATCGTCATCGACTACCATCATATTAGCCGGTACTTTTCTCGAACGCTTTGGCAAGCTGTTCTGCATTGGCTGTTGCTGTATACCAGCAGATGGCTGTTTTACTTTTTCTGTATGACGCATAACCTCGTTGTTGTGGTCGTACTCTTCATCATCATCGTCATCACTTTGTGAATTTACACCCATATTTGAATATCGCTAAAATAAGTCATAAAAAACTTAGTGATTTATTTTTTAGATTATATTAACTACACTAACCGCAGCTATTTTCGCCTTTTGCATAGCTTTGCGCATGCGTGTTATTTCCAAGCGTATTTGTTTGATTTTTTTCGTACGATATGCGGGGTTCTTGAGGACCTGTGATTTATCTGCAAGAATTAGCAACTTCTGCACAATTTCTTCACATGGCTTGGCCTCTAGCAATTGTTTTAATTCCGCCTCAACCTCTTGTTCAACGTGATCTTCATGCTCGGAGCGTGTGTTGTCCAACAAACCTTCACGTTGCAGCTCTTTCCGCACTTGTTGGAAAAGTGGCGCTGCTTGGTCACGCATGCGTATGCCAGCACGATAAAAAACTGTATCTTTATTGTTATAAGCTAGACAATTTTGTATCATTAAGTCAAAGTCGATCTCCAACTGCTCCAGCGTCGTGTATTGGCCTTGTTTCAGTTTTGTGCGCATCGTGCCTAGATCCATTGGATGCTTCACAATATCCAAATAATCAGGCACTTCGACTGTATCAACAGGTTCACGGAAAATTTCGCTGGTATCTTTTGCTTCGAGTGTATCCAGTAGCTTTGTCAGCGCCGATTCTAGCGGATTCACTTGTAACATTACCACCTGCTCACAAATTTTCACAAAGGCAGCTTTTAGTTTCTCGCGCTTGCGCACCAATTCGCAAAGTAGGCGCGCACGCTCCAAATCCTGCCGCAGACACTGCCAGTATTTCAACTGCTTGTATAACTCCTTAGTGTCCGGTGATCCTAATAATGAGGAAAGAAATTTTTAAATCGACAAACAGGCTGACTTTCAAAACGTCAATTGCATTGCATACGTACATTATTATACTTATCATGATAAAAAAATAGAATACTTATCGTCGTTTAAAGTACAAAACCGCATATCAACAAAATGCAAAACCGCGTATGAAGACAATGCAAAACCGCGTATGTGAATTATGTTAAATATTTTCTAGACAGTAAAAACACTCATATTTCACAATGGTTCTCTTTTTTATAAAGCAATCGCATTCCTGGCTAGTATGTTTTAGGACGAATTTATAAGGATTGAGCCAAGAGCTTGTGTGAGCAAATCAAATTTTTGGCAGCAAATGTCAGTTACGCGGTTTTGCAGAATAAGGATAGGCGGTATTGTACTTTAAATGACGTTATGTATGTACATATGTATAGGTATGTTATAAATGCGTGAGAAGTAAATACGTATCTTAAAACTAAAAAATATGTTAAAATAAATCTAGATTCTCGCAAAGCAAATAACGTACTATGAAGTTAATCACTACTACTGTTAGTCACTTTTAAGTGAGGGGTAGGAGCAGAAAGCCAAACAAAATGCAAACCTTCAATACCATTTCGGTGTATTACACCGTGATTGTTGCCTTGACTCTGTAGACGTCGCAATAGTGGCACACCATTCCGGTACTGTCGTTTCAGTGTCCAATAGGCTATAAGCCTATCTAAGAATTGCTGCTTCTTTTGCATGTGTACCATGCCCGAGATCTCCTGCACACGGTTGGGAGGAATTGTTGGTATGAGTACAACTGGAGCTGACGAACGTTTCTTGGCCAGAGCCTTACGTGCTTCTTTCATTTTCACACGTGTATCTTCCACTTCTTTTTGATTGGTTTTTAATTTAGCATCAGCCGGCGTATGAGCATGGCAGTAGGCATACTTTTGTACATGAACCGAAGAGTCGTTGTGGCCATCTTTAACCGTGTCCATTGTCATATACAAACCAGCTTGTTGCGCACATGTTACATGGAAAGCAGCATAGCAGCTGTTGCGCTGACACTGTATGCACGCGCCCAACCCCTTTTCTTTGCAAACATAACAGGTGAGTCGCCAACGCGCCGCCGGAATGGTCTCGATGGAATCTAAAAAAAAAGTACAAAAATAATAACATAAATATTTTAATCTTGATTTAAATTTTGGCTTATCGATAATTTAACTTACCAATTGGTTCCAAAAACACGGTATTAGCAAAGCGCACTTCAGGAATCCAAAGCGCGCATACCACATGTGCCCATTGACCGCGATCGGTCTGTTTGAAAGCACCGCCGGCATTCGGGCACAATACGCAACTCACTGGGGTACTGGGCGATTGCAAACAGCGTCGGCACAACCACTGACCTTCCGGAATGTACGGAACACCGTAACAATCCTGATGCACGGCCAGATTGCACATATCGCAGAAGAGAATCACGTTTGTGTTCTGGCACTCGCCATCCATGCAAATGCAGCAAACTGCATCATCGTCTACTTCTACGCCGGTTGGCGTGCCATTAGCGGCAGCTTGAAAGTATGACTCTTTTTCTAATCGATCCATTAATAGTTCCATGGTGTCGATGCCGACCGCGTTTAGACCGGATTTTTCACGTTGTTCGTTCATCCATTCTAGCCACGCCGAATCCTCCTCATCCACATCGTACTCGATTTCGCCATCTAGTTCCTCAGCCGATTTTTCTATGAAACGATAATAAGCAAGTGGGCGGGGTGGCGCGTCAGGCACATGGTAGTTTTCAATTTCATGATAACGCGCCTCGGGCACTTTTATACGCGCCCACGACGCATTTTCCTCAAGAGGTGGTGCATCGGCATTTAGAATGCAACGGCGGGCTACTAATTCCGCATACTCTTCATCTTCAATGAACGGCAGCGGTTCATCGATAGGCAATCGAACACTCTTACCGTCGATATTAAACTGCACTGTTTGCTCTTCTTCATTGTAGCAAACTAAGGATTCAGGATTAGCCACTTGATTCCCACCACCGTTGGCGGCGTTGTCATCTCCTGTCCCCTTCGGTGTTTTGGGAGTAGAATGATGTGCTTTCCGCGCCTTTTTTCGGTTTGGCGTTATAATTGGTGTTATTGGTTGTGGATTGTCGTGATCATAGTTAAGTAAGTGGTATTGAAGTCCCACCACGGTCTTGTAGCTGCGATCGCATTTCGCTACTGGACACGCGTACGGCGGTTGTGCTTGCTGCAGCTTCACGTTCTTGCAATACTCGATCGCATCAAAATCGAGGCCCATTGTAAGTGTAATTGATATTACTGATGATTCGGCTTGGTGCTATTGCGAAAACCGTTCGCTATATTTGCATTTTATTTGCAAAATTTTCGCGTGAAACTATATTACCGTAGCTTTTTCGCTTAATTTACGCTTCCTTTTGTATTTCTTCAATTCACACGCATATTCCGCTGTCACAAATGGCGCAAAGTGACAGCTGTTTGCATGCAATTTGACGTTTAACAAGCAAAAGTGTTGTTATCAAACAACCATTACGGATAGGGAGGAATTTTAGGCTATAATGGAAGTACTTTGAAAGACTGCTAGTATGATTGTATTTCATATTTAATTTAAAGAAATTCAGCTTTATCATGAGTTATATTTTCCAAAAATCTTCTCTCCATTATGTCGTCCAGTTTAAAACAACTTAATTTAGAGCGGGAAATTTGTTTAAAACTATTTTCGGTAGCGGCAACCTTGTTCTCTTTGTTTCTTTCCACACGCCATGCTAATCGGTTGGGATGAAAAATTCACTAGCGCGGCCGGTTATGGCCATGATTCAATAAAAAAAAAGGTTTGCTCAAAAAGCACTTCATAGGCTTTTTGACAGCTCAGGTGTGCGCCATCTTCTGGTGAAACAGACGCAGGAAAATATTTTCCTATAGGTGGCGCATTCTTTGCCAAACCTTTTTTTGACCCAACCGACGTTAGCACCCATGAACGAAAGACACAAGAACGCGCCTTCCCCAAAGAAAGACAAAAGTTATTTTCTAGCTGTTGAAATCTCGACGCCATCTTTGTTGTAAGAAGTAAACAACGAAGAGAACAAAAAAAAAACGGCGTAAATGTTGAACGCATGAATAATCATTTTTATTATGCAAATTCTTCTATAAATCATGCCGTTGTGTTAAATTACTCTTTAGCATATGTGTGCACACGTTGTCACAAGCGAAATTTAAGAAAATTGCAGTAAAAAGCCACCAAATTGTAAACAACGAACAAATGTAAATAAACGGCTAATGTCAAAGTCGCCCAACTTTTTTCCTAAATGCGATTATAACGGGCTACTAAGAAGAAGGCGTGATCTTGTATTTTTCGTTCATGACTTGCAATGATTGCCAGCTCAAATATTGTAGCATAGTCCAATTTTGTCGCAGGAGTTTCCATACAAAAGTAATCAGCTGTGTCGCAAGGTGGCAAATTTTGCAACAACTTTTCGACGTTTCATGAATCCTACTAATCTACTTTTAATATTCAAAACTCAAACACATATACACATTCTCATTTTCAATATCAAACAACAAAAGTTCTGAACTAGGGCTGATGATTTCACCCGGGTAATGAGCTACCCGGGTACCCGGGTAGCGGGTGAAGCCCTACCCGGGTAGACCGGGTACCCGGGCAGTATGGTAATTACCCGGGTACCCGGGCACCCGAAAAAATGTGGAGAGGTGAAAATTAAACGCATTTACGATCATATAACGCAAACGAACGTACATAGGGAAAATCTATAAGAATCTTCCGTACCATATGGAGAAATATTATAATATACAACACATACATTGCACTTGACAAATCCGTCATTCATCACACAAGCGTACTTCCAAACCCAGCTTGTTTTAGGCATGTCTAAAATATTAATATTTACGAAGTTGGTAATGCACGTACAGATATCGGATCGGTAACAAATAAAATTATTGAGACACACCCACCTGCGAATCTAAACGATGACCGACAGTTGAGGCAATTTTTGTGTTGGAATGAAAAAAATTTTAAAATTTCTTCCACAATTATTTCACAACAATACGTTCATCAACCTACTTCTCGTATTAAGGAAACTTCATTAAATAATTGTGATTTAAAAGCTTTAAATATTATGAGAAAAGAAACTATAATTTGAACAAGCTGATACAATAAAAGTACAAAATCTTTAGGTGAATGAATAGCATAAGGCTTTGTCACCTTACTTTTTGTACCAGAAGTGGCCTACCACAGGGTTTAGTTCTTATATAATTCCCAATGAGAACGTTCTCGTCAGTTTTGTTCTCATTTTGGTTTTGGTTTTGACGCGTTCTTGGGAACAAAACTACGACAATGGCATTTAGTTTCGATCATACATTTCGTTCTCAGTCCCTGTTTTAAAATATTAATATTTAATATTCTTTAAAATATACATACATACATACATATGTACACATGCATGTATGTATATGCATTTACAAAAATTAGAAGTTTGAATTTAAGTACAGAAACTAATGTTTTAATTTACTTTTCTTGTCTCCGTCTACTCAGGCAAGCGGTTAGGTGTACATAGTCGCGTACACTCTAGACATAAAAAAATAATTATAAAAAAAAATTTTCTCACTGAAAAAATATTTATCCTCACCAAAAAGATTATACAAGAAGCTTTATGTCGCATTACCCGGGTGTTTTTCGTTTAACCGGCACCAACATATGTATATTACCCGGGTACCCGGGCAAATCGGGTAATACCCGACTACCCGGGTAATAAAAGCCCCGGGTAATACCCGGGTAATCGGGTACCCGGGTACCCGGGCATTACCCGAATTACCCGGGCACCCGGGTAATACCCGGGTAACCGGGTACCCGGGTATCATCAGCCCTATTCTGAACAATTTAATTGTTATTATTAATTGTCATCATCATCATTTTCGTCTACATTTTGAAGTTTCAGGGGATTGTAGAGATACCCGCATACTTTAAAAAAGTTTCAAACTTTACGTAAGTTAGACCGCTTAGACTATGTTGCTTTTTCAATTTTTCCTAATAAACAATCGTGGTACAAAGCTCAATAAAAATATTAAAAATAACTTTTTTCTTTCTTTCGGGAAGGCGTGATCTTGTGTCTTCCGTTCATGATTGCAAGTCGCTAAACACATGGGCGTGTATTCATAGTCCAGCTACTAAGTCGAAACTAATAAAGTTGCAACTTAAATTTAAGTACCAACTTAGTGTAAATATTAATACGGCTTTCCCACTCCAATTACCCTTCGAATTACGTAATTCGCCATACAAAGTTTTGAGAGCGAATTACCTCATTTGTTGGTATTTCAGTTCCAATTACCATGTGAATTACGAACAAATCTGTGCCGTCCTAATTTTTATCGGAAATTTATCGAAACTAGCTCACAAAGCAAAACTTGCATTTTTTCTGAGTGCGAAACGTAAAGTTTATAAATTTGTGTATCCCTAATTTAATACGGAAACTTATAAATTTTTAGGAAGAACTTACATTTTGCAGCGAAGAAAAACAAAAACAAAACAATTTGCGATCGTAATTTGGGGAGCGAACAAAGCAATTTAGGATGACGTGAGAGAATGGTATAAGATTTGTGTATGCAATCGATAGTTCGTCGATTGTACTTGACTGTTTGTCCATTTTAGCCACACAGTAAAAAATAACCTTTAAATTTTCACTTCACATAATTCCTGTATCTAGCACCTCCAACAGATTATTTTGGTTTAGCTATAAGGTTCTTTCCCGTACGCGACGCGGGATCCCGCGGGTGCCCAAAACAGCCCAGAAATCATTCCCGTACTTAACAAAATGGGTAATAAAGAGCGAATTGGAACGTACTGGATCGTAAGTGTCTTCTTCTTCCTGCCCGAAGCAGCCAGGACTTTTTCTCGGGGTAAAAATGAATAAAGTGTCAAAGTGCATATCAGCTGTTTTGTGTTTACATGTTGCCTGCATCTACTTGGTGCTTTTAAGGAATAGTGAATGGCCTGTTGATATATTTTCAATCTTTATATACTTAAAATCAAATTTGTGAAACAAAAATTAAATTTCCAAGAGTTTGCATTTAAGTGACAAAAACAAAAACAACGCAAATCAGCGATTTATCAAATTCTGGCCACGAAATGTGGTTTTTTGCCGTTCCCATTCTTCTGGATTATGTTCCATTTTTGAGAGCAAACTTTTGGGTTATTCTCTAATTACCGGATCCGGTCCGGATTGTTAGGGAAAGAATCTATTATTGCAATCGATAGTTAGTCGATTGTTCTTCATTGTTCGTCCAAACAAACGGAACAAACTTTCCTCAGCCAAACATTTATAATAAAGTTTTTACATTTTACAATTCCTGCATTTAGCACCTCAGGTGTAAGAATTTCATTATTTTCATTTGTTAAATGTGATAAATTGTTTGTTCGTCGTTTGTCATCCCTAAAATTGAGCAAAAGCCGTCAATAAATTCATCATAGAATAATTTTCCATTAAAGATATGGGATATGAACCCAACCGACGTTACCACCTCATTAGTATAAATTTTAAGATTTTTGTATTGCAATCGATAGTTGGTCGATTGTTATTTACTGTTGGTCTGTAATATTACTGTGTGGCCAACGAACAAACGTTAAAAATTGACGAAAAGTAAATAACAATCGACGAACTATCGATTGCAATACAAAAATCTTATTAGCTCTGATCCAATACTTTTCGTGTAATTGCGCGTTTACATTGGACAATGCTATTAAGACAATGAATATATACGTATTAGTTGTCAAAATTTTTCCAATGGAAAAGTATGCATGAATTAGTGAAAAAGTGTGTATGTATTGCTATTGTCATGACAGTATTGTCTGGTGTAAAGCCTAAGTAAAATCCTGTAAAAATGTCAAACAGCAGAGCTAATAACTCTGATCCAGTACTCCATGAACTTACAGATTTTTACACGAACATGCCGGAAGTTACAGGAAAAATTATCCCGTACTCCAAATTCCTCGAAAATCCTGTAAATGAGAGCGACTTTTGGAGAGTTGTGTAGAGAATGAAGTTGCAAGATTTTACTTCAACTTTTTCTTCAGGTAAAATCATGAAATTAAGCGATCACTGGTTGACGTTTTTACAGGAAAAATGCTGTTTTGGTTCCCGTACTTTTTGTTGTTACTCACTTTTTACTCTCACTTCCGAGAGGACCTTTGCTGTTTGACAGTTTTACAGGATTTTACACGAAAAGTACTGGATCCGAGCTAATGTTTATACTAGCTCTGATCCACTACTCCATGAACTTACAGATTTTTACACGAACTTGCAGGAAGTTACAGGAAAAATGATCCCGTACTCTAAATTCCTCCAAAATCCTGAAAAGGAGAGCGATTTTTGGAGAGTTGTGTATAGAATGAAGTTGCAAGATTTTACCAGAACTTTTTCTTCTGGTAAAATCATGAAAAGTGTCAAGCGATTACTGGTTGACGATTTTACAGGAAAAATGCTGTTTTTGTTCCCGTACTTTTTGTTGTTACTCACTTTTTACTCTCACTTCAGAGAACAATTTTGCTGTTTGACATTTTTACAGGATTGTACACGAAAAGTATTGGATCAGAGCTACTAATGAGGTGCTAACGTCGGTAGGGTCGATTCGAAACACCAAAAACACTTCTAGAATCTCCAACCAGAGAAATCAAGACTGCAATTCTTTATTCATTCTGAACGTTTGGAATAAATTTTTTTGTTTACTTATTCTTTAGAACGTTCCTGATGATATTGTTACGATTATCCTTGAAACCTTGAGGGATTTCCC